ATAAATTAGATAGACGGAGTGAATGTAAACAAACATAATGTTTTAAGAAAGATTCGTATATACAATATACATCATCATAATTCTTTAAAATTATCGTAATATGTATGAGAATGTTCGTGTGATTCCGGGAACCTCGCTCGATAGCGCCATGTTTTTTACATGATTTTCAAACGGAGTTCATCGCAAACGCAAAAATGACGGAAAAAGTGCCAGTGTGACAGGGCCCTTTGATGCATCCTACCACCCTCCATCGTTCACCCCCACCCCCCTCCTCCTCCCCCCAGAGCGTGTGGCAAGGAGATCCCGTACAAGGTGGTGGGTCGTCGCGAGGGTGATGTGCCGACCATGGTGGCCTCCTGCGCCCTCGCCGAAAAGGAACTGGGGCTGGAAGGCCACGAGGAACCTGGACGAAATGTGTAAGGAGACAGACACGCCACGCACGCACACGCACACGCACACGCACTCGCACACACACACATGCACTCTCACTCGCATTCGCAATCACTCACTCACTCACTCATAACTTGCTTGCTTACTTACATATATCTATACATGTATAAATATGAGAGAGAGAGAGAGAGAGAGAGAGAGAGAGAGAGAGAGAGAGAGAGAGGAGAGGAGAGAGAGAGAGAGAGAGAAGAGAGAGAGAGAGAGAGAGGGGGGGGGGGAGAGCGAGAGCATAAATATATAGTGTATCAGTTATTTATGAACTAGCATCACCTGTGCACTCTCTCTCTCTCTCTCTTGCACACACACACAACACACACACACACACACACACACACACACACACACACACACACACACACACACACACACACACACACACACACACACCCACACCAATCTATCTGTGTATCTATCTATAGTAACAGACAGAAGAGAGAGGAGAGAGAGAGAGAGAGAGAGAGAGAGAGAGAGAGACGAGAGAGAGAGAGAGAGAGAGAGAGAAGAGAGAGGAGAAGAGAGAAGAGAGAAGGAAGAGAGAGAGAGAGACCCGAAGAGAGAGAGAGAGAGAGACCGAAGGAGAGAGAGAGAGAGAGACGAAGGAGAGAGAGAGAGAGAGAGACGAGAGAGAGAGAGAGAGAAGAGAGAGAGAGAGAGACCGAAGGAGAGAGAGAGAGACCGAAGGAGAGAGAGAGAGAGACCGAAGGAGAGACAGAAAGAGAGAGGAAGGGTGAGGGGTTAGACAGACAGACAGTTTTATAAATACCAGCATTAGATATGATTTATCAGTGATTTAATGACCGGCATCACCTGTGCGGCAATATTTTACGTTAATGAATTTAATGAAAGGTAATGCCGTCACTAATAATAATAATACCTTATCACTTAGTAGATACATGTTTGCTTAATTCCTGAATCAGCGTAGACTATTTTATTCTTGACATGATTCGAAATTTAGATGCTAACAATACAACTTGTGTTCAGATTTTACCGATTTTGTAACTGTGACTAATGATAGATTGTATTGTTGTAGATATATCCCTCACATCTTCAGGGAAAAAAAAAAAAAAAAAATAAAAAAAATAAAAAAAATAAAAGAAATAAAAAATAATAAGAAAAAAAGGATTTAATGAAATTGCGACATTCAAACCATAGTAATGGGTTGAATTCCAAATATGGTGAGAGAAATTCCTTATTTTTTCATTCGAACTCGCTCTATCTCACCCCTCCCCCCATTCCTCGAAAAAAAAAAAAAAGCCCCTCTAAATACAGGTTAAGAATCACTGGCTCATAAGCGATTAATTTATTTGTACACATTCAGGCTGCTTCAATCACTGGACACTATTTTCTCTTACAGTTTTTTAAATTAAACTTTTCTTCAACTGGATTGCAAATGTTGTGTGAAAGTTGCAAATGTTGTGTTTAAGTTGCAAATGTTGTGTTATTAAAGTTCAAAGTTGTGTTATAAGTCAAATGTTGTTGTTATTAAAGTTGCAAATGTTATTAAAGGTGCAAATGTTGTATTAAAGTTGCAAATGTTGTGTATTAAAGTTGCAATGTTGTGTTATTAAAGTTGCAAATGTTGTGTTATTAAAGTTGCAAATGTTTGTGTTATTAAAGTTGCAAATGTTTGTGTTATTAAAGTTGCAAATGTTGTGTTATTAAAGTTGCAAATGTTGTGTTATTAAAGTTGCAAATGTTGTGTTATTAAAGTTGCAAATGTTGTGTTATTAAAGTTGCAAATGTTGTGTTATTAAAGTTGCAAATGTTGTGTTAAAATTGCAAATGTGTTAAAGTTGCGTGTGTGAATGCCATATTTGAAAGGTATACCAGTTGCCTCTGTCTTGCATTTGCAAAATACGCATTATTGTGCAGTGTGCCATACTCTTCATGTACGATCGTGGCCTCACTTCGTTAATATTAAATGTCATTTTGTAAAAAGAAAAGAAAAGAAAAAAGAAAAAAAAAACCCATAGATTTGCAAATTTATAAAAACTCAAAGAAAGACCTCATTACAAATACATAGTTAAATAAAACGATCTTTCAGCTAAAATTATCTAGTTTCAAATTTATAAAACCCAATTTTTAAAAGAAAGACCTCATTACAGATTCATTGTTAAACAAAACGACCTTTCTGCTAAAATTAAGTAGG